TTTAGAAATCTAGCCTCTGGAACTGTGAGACAATTCCTGTTACTTAATTCACCCAGTCTATGGTACTTTATTACAGCAGCCCCAGCAAACTAATATACTTTTCCTCTGTGTGAAATAAGATCTTGGTGATGCAGCTCCTTTATTTTGCTAGAAGTGTTGTGAATGATCAGAATACCAAGTTTACCCACACCAAAATACCAGCACAAAAAGATATTCCAGGGCACAGGTCGAATTCATTTTAGTGTATTTGTTATCTAAGTTTTCGTGTGAATTTCTGGATGATCACAAAAAGTTTTCTGCTTCCATCTAATATCTACTGTTAGAAAAACAGAGCTGCATCATTCACCTAAACATAGAGCTTAATGATTTTGGGTTCCTTTGACATTGATAAGATAGAAGATGTTTCTACTGACCTGTGAGCTGAACATGGACTTTAGTGTACTCTGAGGCCTTCTCCTTTTAAGGGCATCCAAGTACCTCCTCAGTCAAGGTCCAGGCAAGGCTTTCTTTCCCATTGTGCTGGTTAATTTCATGCATCAACTTGACTGGGCCACAGGGTGCCTTGATATTTGGTCCAACAGTATTCTGGGTGTTTCTGTGAGGATGTTTTTGGATGAAATTAACATTTAAATCTGTAGACTGAGTAAAGCAGCTTGCCCTCCCTAATGTGCATAGTCCTCATCCAATCAGTTGAAGAAGGCTTGAATAGAACACAAGGTTGATACAACCTCTAACCCCTCATTCCCCAGTAAGAGAGAATTCTCCTGCCTAATGGCTTCTGATCTATAACATGGGCTTTTCCTGCCTGGTAACTTTCAAACTTTGTGTGTGTGTGTGTGTATATAGTGTGAGATCTATATATATATAGATCTCCTACTGGTTCTGTTTCTGTGTAGAACCCTAATGCACTGATCTTCCCTTACATATCTAATAATTTATTTTCATCACATAAATTTACTCAACAGTTAACTTTTGTTAAATTTGAAAGTTTTGTGAAATTTTTCTCCATGCCCAAATTTTTCCAGAAATGATCTGGGTTTAAGAAATAAAATAGAGATAAATATCAAATGAAAGTGAGACTAACAAGAAAACTTCTACTTGGAATGTAAATGGAACATTGACAGATCATTGTGAAAAGTCAGCAATTTCTTTATACGAATGACAACTAGCAGAACAAAATATACCTTTTGTAAATAATAAACTTCTCAGGATCAATACTCACTGTTTTGAAATCTGAAAATGAAACCCCTTTAAAATGCAAATACAATGAGAAACTATAATAGCTTAAGTAAAAGATTTATGTTCATCATAAACTGGATTCATTGTGTATTTTATTTTTCATTTTCCTGATACTTTATAATCCTGTTTACTATCTTTTATCTTAAAAAAATATATATATATGTGTATAGGCCAGGTGCAGAAGCTCACACCTGTAAACCTAGCACTCTGGGATAACTAGGCAGAAGGATTGCTTGAGGCCAGGAGCTCAAGACCAGCCTGAGCAAGAGGGAGACTCCATCTCTATAAAAAAATAGAAAAATTAGCCAGGTGTGGTGGTGCACGCCTATAGTCCCAAATATTTGGTAGGCTGAGGCAGGAGGATTGCTTGAGCCCAGGAGTTTGAGGTTGCAGTGAGCTATGATGACCACATTGCACTC